TTTTTTTTGGTAGAACACCCCTCTTGAGGCCCACCTCCTCATGCCAGCCTCACTTGCTGAAGCCACTGAGGAATCAGAGGTATTGATGGGTCTGCCTTTTTGCTTATCCCTCCCCGAGCTGTGGAGGCTGACTTAGCGAGATTCCTGCATCTGCCTGCGTTTTCAGTGCCCCCCGGGCAAGAGCTGGTCTGGTGTCTAGATTTGACCCTGGCCAAGAGTGTGGTTCTGATGCAGCCACTGGTTTCCTAGGCGATTCCTAGGCTGGTCCCTCGATTTCCTCTGCTGATTTCCCTGATCCTGAAGGGAGAGCAGGGAGCATCCTTGCCCAGAGGACCTTCTGGCCCATCTGTGAGGTGGTAGCCTGGTGGGTGGGGTGAGCACCCACAGTTGGTGGGGTTGAGCGGCTTGCACAGGATGGCAGGGCCCCCTGCTGCTGGTGCTGCTGCTTAGCAACGCGTCACTGGTAACGGTGGTGGGATCCTGATTGTGTGTCCTGGTGCTTTGCCCTGCCTTCTGATATCCCACAAACTAAAAAGCCAAACAGTTGCCGAGAAGACCCCCACCGTGGCGATCCTTTGGGTACAGCGCTTGATGACATGGCAGGGAGAAAAGGCCCCGACTTCGTTCCCTTGGTTGTTGCTGGGCGTGAAGGAAAGGTGTCGCGTGTCAACACGGTAGCATGATAGGTAGTGAAAAAGGCAGGTGGCACCAAGGCAATGTGCTGCCCCTTAGGACATTCTTCTCCCAGATATAAAATGGCACCATGCCTGGCCTGTGAGCACGCATGTGATGATGGTGTACAGAACGACACAAGAAGGTTACACACTAAGTTCCAGATAGTATGCCAGCCCCCGGGGGGACCAGGGGAAGAGGCGGATCAAAAAGAATGGGGCTTTAGCCAGATCAGAAGTAGAGGAGGCTGCAAGCCAGGATCCTGTGTGCTGAATCTAGTGGCAGATGTTGAGACTAGGCTGTTTGCTGTGTTTCATATGTTTTCAAGAGGCCCCGGAAAGATGGCTGGAGAGATTACCAGGCCTGCCTCGCTGTCTGCTAGAGAGGAGGATGGAGCTGGCACAGAGGCAGCTCTGTGCACCTGGGGTCTTCTCCTGTGGGACTGGGAAGAATAGCAGTTAGGGGTGGTGGCCGGCCTTTGTGTTCTGTGGTATATATAGTTCTTACCAGGGACACCCCCGAGGTTCATTCGGGTGTGCCCACAGTAGATCCTTACATAGGAAGAGCTAGTTCCCCCACAATCCATGTGTTAGGGTTTCCATTACAGAGGCAGGGAGGGCTGAGACAAACAGCGA